AGATAGCAATTGGTTCAGGGCTTCCAACCCAGCATCACAGGCACACAGCTGTTTTCCAAAGGTCCGCCATCTATAGGACCCTTTGCATTCACGGTTTTCCTGATAATTTTCTTTACATACGCTCACACCCCCACCCCCTTTTACTTGTCCTTAGCATTAATATCCCTACAAAATTGTGACGTGTATGTGCCCATTACATTATTTGTCTAATACACATTAAAATAATTACAACTACTGGGGTAAAAAGTATTCTTCCAGGTGCCACCTAAAACCCTCACATATGTGAGCTATGCTTTAGGAGACCATGGGCTAGTTGAATGTGCTCACTCTCTCTCTGGAGATGCTGAGGCTGAGAGAGGAGACCTGTCCTGCCTGAAGTCACACAGCAAGTGGCAGCAGAGCCAGAGCAGAGCTCCTGTAGCCTTGGCCCTCCATGATGTGGGAGTCTGAGGAGCCCCTGCATCTCCAGGAGCTCAGGTGCCCTCAGGGACAGCCTGCCTCCAGCCTTGGCTCTGTGCTCTGTTGCATGTCTGGGGAGGGGAAGACCAGGGTCTGCAGGGCCTTCTGCCAGGCTGAGGGAGCCAGAGGAGTAACCATCCCCCTGGAAGTTCAGAACCCAACCTCCACAGGGGTGGGGTCTAGCTGAGGGGGTCAGGAGTTGCTGGAGTCAAAAGGGCCCCTGATAATACTGCATAGGAAATGTTGAATCTGCAGAACCTGGCATGAGGGGTAGAAGGTGACCCTGTCATAATACTAGCTCCATAAACAAAACAGCCCACACTGAGGACTTGTTCTAGGTGCTTTATACATATTAACAACACATCCCCAGCTACTGGAAGGCTGAGGCGGAAGGATCACTAGAACCCAGCAAGTCGAGGCTGCGGTGGCCGGGAGCGGCCACTGCACTCCAGTCTGGGCGACAGAGTGAGACTCCAACTCAAAAAAAACCCAAAAAACAAAAAACACATTCCTTACAACACCCCCAATACAGTCAGTAGTTGCTATCCCCATTTCTCAGTGAGGAAATTGAGGCAGAGAGTTTGAAAATGTACTCTGAGCTGCCTAGTTAGTAAGTGGCAGAATTAGGATTTGCACCAAGGTGACTGGATTTAGAGTTCGTGTTCTTTTATTTTGTTTTTTTGCCCTCCCCCCCACCTCCCACCTCCCACCCCAAGTTCATGCTCTTAACTGCCTCACTTGCTCTAAGTGAAACACTGGCCTTTTAGGGAGCTTTCAGTCCCAGCCCATCATGTGGTAGCTATCACTTGAGCACTTTCGACAGGTTGAGCCCTGGACCCTGGTCTTATGACAGTTGAGACCAGCTTAGAGGAGTTAAGGCATTGCCAGAGTGGAGCTGGGTTGAGAAAGCAGGTGGATGCTGGCTTCCAGGCCTACACTCTGTCTCCTTCACTGGTTGATGCATGTGGGCTTTGCCTGTGCTGTGAAGTCAAACGTTTGGTCACAGACAGCAAGCACAGGCTTGGGGCATCTCTCATCTACCCTTTCAATCGCTTCTTCAAGTTCAGCTCCTTCCTTGGTCCCCCTAGGGCAGAGCCTGAGCTGTGGGAACTGGTGGGAAGCCAGAGGCAGCTCCTACCCAGTGCCTCTGCCCAGGACACAGAGCCCCATGGGGGTGGCCTGGGAGCAGCTGCCTGCCTGGTACCCAAGACTCAGCACCCACCCAGGTGAGCAGGTATCTGCAGGGCCCATCTAACTCCCTTACTTCCAAGGGCCTGCAGGGGCCCCACCCAGTCACTCCTGCCAATTGGTTCTAGGACTAAAGGCCAGAGGGACAGGCAGACCATGGCCTTGAGGCCTTACAGGCCTCAGTAAAGAACTCATACCTTGGAAATAGGGATAGTTTTGAAGGAGGGAAGTGACTCAGTCAGATTAAAAGCAAACCCTCCAGTGACTCCTAACAAGAAATGCACATCTTGTGAGAAATGATCAAGGCTTGAACTGGGACAGTGAGAAGAGGGGTTGAGAGAGGGAGACAGATTCCAGAATGATTTGGAGGTAACATTGGTGGGACTTTGTGAGTGACTGGACGTGACGGCTGCAGACAAGGGAAGAATCAAGAATTGATGACCTCCAGGTTTCTGGCTTGAATAACTTGGTCGTGGTGGTACGACCAATTGAGATGAATATACATGAAGCCCATTTCAGGAGCAAAGAAGACCTTAATCTTGGACATGCCGATTTTGAACAGGTTCTGGGTGCTCAGGGGGACAGTCCAAACGAGAGCCACAGAGGCAAGTCTGCAGCTCAGGGGTCAGGTCGAGGCTGGGTAGAGGCTTGAATGGACACCACAGATCCACACAAGAGAATAAATGTCCAGGGAGCGTACCTAGAAATGAGATTTTAGAATAAGCCAAGTAGGCTGAGAATGGAAACTGGGAAAAGTGAAGGGACGGTCAGAAAGAGTAAGGACACCCAGAAGGCAAGGGCCCAGAAGCCAAGTGAAGAATGTTATGAAGGAGGGGGAGGATCAACAGTACCCAACATAGCAGAGAGGGCCAGAGATAAGAACCAAAGACATCAAAGACATCCTCTGGGACTGGAGATTAGCGAGCCAGCTGTGACCTTGCTGAACACTGTTTCAGAAGAGTGAGAAGCCTGCAGGGACATGGGGTGTGACCGAAGGGGACAGTGACAGGGAGGAGACTCCTGTAGTCAAGGGTCACCCTGGAGCCCCTGGAAGGTTCTTCTTAGGACAGGAGATGAGCATGTTAACATAAGCTGAGGAAAGGGGCCAGGAAACAGGTGAGGTCAGAGATGCTGGGGCCCCAGGGATGATGTGGGCGGGTGGGCTGGCTTTGGATGGAAAGACCATGCCGTCCCAAGACAATAGCATAGGTGGTCAAGATGAGTATGAAGAATGATTTGCAGGTCACACCACATGGCCTCAATTTTCTCAAAATGGCAGGCAAGATTTTCTAGGTGGATAATAAGGGGAAAGACAGGAAGCTTCCCTGGGGGCCTCATTAGTAAGCTTCGAGGAAGGATGAGTGGCCGCCATGGGGGAAGAAAGTGGGTGGAAACCATGAACCTGCTGTGGCCACCTCAGTCTCCGTGGTGGAGCTGAGGTGCCTAGGGAGGGACGGGGAAGTCAGGTCATGTCAGACTGGGGTTTTGCTGGTGGTGTGTAAGGATGGACGCTAGGAAGTGGAAGTACGGGGAGATAGAGTTGGGCTGAGTGAGGAATGGAGAGAAATGAAGGAAGCAGGTTGGCATCTGCTCCTCCATCCATTTCCCTGCGAGCCGCATGAGGAACGAGGGCTAGCCTCTACCCTGAGACCAGCTTGAGGGTTCAGGCTACTAGGGCCAAACCCAACCAGTTGTTTTTCCAGATGGGACCCATCTGCAGAACAGTGTGGCTGGTGGGTTTGAGGGGAGACAAGATTTCTGAACATAATGGCACTCAAATTCCTTTTACAGCACCCAAGATGGGAAGGTTACCTCTGATATTTTCCATCATTGGTTGCAGGGGTCCTGGTCTCTGACCCAGATGATCAGCCAAGCAATAAACTTCCTCTGTGTGGGCTCCCCATTCATTTATTAATCACAGAAAGACAGTGAGGTACAGTCTGGACTAATCTGAGAACTGGGTTATGTGTAAAGTTGTTTGGTTACTGGTTGAATCTTTAACGTGAACAGTCATTCCTAATCTTTTGTAGTTTTCACATATTGGACTTCTTTGTATTTGGACTTATTTATAGTTAACGGCAGTTGTTTGCTTCAGACCAAATCCTTAAAACTACAAAAGCATGGTTGGATAACCTACAGGACTTACCCAAGACGTGGAGAAACACAGTACTTGAGGTTTTCCCCCCAGGGAATGTGGTTTTAGAGAATGAGATATAGCAATGAGACACCACTTTCTAGACTAGTTATTCTTGAGAAGTTAATACACACATCCGCCCACTTTTGGAAAGCCCTGCTTTCATCTGCTTCTTGAAATGAGCAGAAAAAATAAAATGGCTCACTATCATTTCCAAAACAGTGCTTGGCCCTAGGAGGTAGAACAGGGTAGAAATGTCATCAGTATCAATTCCTCCATCCTAACCTCGCATGTATAACATGTGCATCTTGTTAGCCCTACCGCTAACTTCATGCCATTTAAGCACTCTTGCTTAGGATCCCACAACCCACTTAGTTCCCTCTCAGCTGTGTCCCTTACTTGCTTCTAGTGCCAACAGCAGTCTCTGCTCTTCTTGAAAGCGCCATCTGCAGGTCATCCCACCCTCATCTCCTTTATACTTGTACTTGGCTCTGAACTTTCACAAATTGTTGCAAACTGACACCCCCATGTTGTTCTCTTGCCTGCTCCTCCTTACCAAAACCCCAGCATGGGGCTCCACACAGGGGTTCTCAATACATGTTTATTTAGACAACCCCTGAGGGCAGAAATGCCCATGAGATCAGACTGGCCCCTCTCAATGCCTGGTTTCTGCCTGGGTCCCCGGTGCCCCATCCTGCACGTTCTGGGCGGAGCTGACTCAGTGCAGGGTCCCTCTGGATGGGATCCTGAAGCCGCTAACACTCTCTTCCACCGGGCAGCTCCATTTTCCTGGCTGTCCCCATCCTCCCCTTTCTTAATACCTGTTGGTTTGCATCTGGGGTACCCACGGTTTTGCAGTGAGCACCTTTTACTGTACCTGTAGAATATCAGGATGGCATCAGGCACTGTTCACAGTTTCAGATGAATCTCTCACAGAGATGAAACCAAAAAAAATCTCACGACAACTCCCAAGGGTCAGTCCCCCTATGCTCTTTGCAGTGAATGAGGCTGGGGTGGCAGCGCCCCAGCCTGCTGGTCTCTTTTTTCATCAGGTGAGAAGAGGACTTCTGGTAGGCTCTGGGCCATGGCCTGGACCCCACATGGCTCTAACTCTCTGCCTGGACCTACCAAGGACAATGCTTTCTGTCCCCTCTGGGACACCACACTTACTAGGACACAGAAAAAATTCATAGGTCCTTAAATCTCTTACAATCAGAAAGTGAGAGAAATAAAACAATTTAATGATGGCTTCCTTGATTTACCGACAACGCTAAGACAACAGGACAAACATTCTCTCCATGCATTGGTACAATGAAATTCAGGGACAAGTGGTGATCCAAGGACAGAAGCCATGGTATTCAAACCCACTGCTCAGCCTCGTATGTCGCGTGGTCTGACCAACTGTCTGGCTCAGTGACTGTGGACACTGGGGAGAGGAGAGGGGACTGCCCAGCCACTTGAAGTGGGAGTGAGGGGACAGGCAGCAGAGTAAGCAGGAATGCATGGACACTGACATCCCTGATGGAAGAGCACAGGGAAGAAGGTACACCAAGCTCCCAGGTGCACCTGGAAGACCACAGTGGTTTGGGGCTGAGAGGAAGGCAGTCAGGAGAACCACTGCAGACAGGAGCACGTGCTGAGTGCCAGGCCATGCTTTCCTGCCAGACACTGAGTTCTTGGTAACCCAGTTCCATCTTCCAAAGGGTACTAACATCCCCAAGACCCGGAACTGGAAGGGTGAAGCCAAAAGACAGACCCCATCCACTCCCGAGGCCGCCTCCAATGTCTCCGTTCCCTTCTGGCCTGCCTTCCCCTCCCTTCAACCCCAAAGCTCTGAGGAGAAAAATCAGAAACCCCATCGCTCTTCTCTAATCAAAACAGCCAAGTACAACATTTCTAAAGAGAGGGAGAAGGAAAAACGTCACAGGCTCTTAAGAGATACCGGGAGAAGACTGGCACTGAGGGAAAGGAGTGGTAGCCCCTGGCTCCGTCCAGCCTGCAGGCTGACAGCCGTGGCCTTGGGGCCCCAACCCGACCACACTGCATCTAGCTGAGCATCTTGTGCCGATCAAAGACTGTCTTCCGCTGCTCCTGCACCTGCAGCTTCCACCGCTGCTGAGCACCTTCCACGCGCTCCAGCACTGTGTTTGCTCGGGGTCCCCCAAGTGACGTGGCGGCTGCTGCCACAGAGCGCACATCCTGTAGTGGGAAGAAAAGAGAGAGGAGCTGGCATGGCGAACCAGGGGGTCTTGAGTCCTGAGAGTCTGACATGGACAGAATGATCCATGGGCAACCCCAAAATCTCATCGCCCCCAGACCAGGAGGCTGGACCTCCCCAAAGGCAGGGGCTCCTTGAAGATCTTGCTTTGTTGTCTGCAAAGCCTAATAGGGAGCCTGGCCTGCTGGAGGCCTTGGTGTCTGTAGGATCTGCAGGAAGGGGCCCCTGCCCTTCCCCGGGGCCTGGGAGGTGAAGCACTACAGAAGTCTTCTGGGGCCCAGGTAGTACAACACAGCTAGCTAGTCAGGTTCCCAGCCTGAAGCCCCCAGGCCTATTTCTCACTCTTAAGAGGAATCCCAAGGCTTCAAGACTTTTTGAGGAAATACACCAATGTGGCCGTAGGGCTGATATTTGGCTGGAGAACTACCCTGCCCCACTTGTCATTGCCCCAGGGATGGCAGGAGGGCCTAGGGGCTAGGGACTGGTGATCCTGAGTGGCAACACATCTGCTGCAGATGGAAGGAGGGGCCTACTGAGGAGATCACACAGATCAAGACCCACAGGGTCTGCTTAGTTTCCCTGGGCAAGGAGAGTGTGACGTCACTCAGGGAGTCTGGCAGGGATGGCAATCCAGAACTGACCCCAGCATTCCCTTGGCATTTCTGCTCTGTCCCACTCCCTCTGCAACAGCCGAGGACAGTTCAGCAACTTTCCTATCTGCCTCCCTCCTGTCCCCCTTCCCTTCTGCTCCCAGAACCGTTGCTGTCGTCAAAAGCGTCCTCCCCTAATTACTACTTCTCTGCCTCTGAAGCTCCAGAGCCCATGCATTTCCTGCAGGACCTGAACCTGATCTTTGGGGGGAATTAGAGCTGAGGGCCAGGCCCACACCCCTGTGGGGATTTCCTCCCCAGCTCTCCCTGCCTCTCATCTCCTGCCACACATCTCTTAAGGGATTAGCACACCTCTCTAAGCCCAGAGCCGCCCAGTAAATGAAACTTTGCTTCTAATGCCCCAAGCTGGCAAGGCTTCTGTCGCCATGCAGCTGCCAGGCTGGGAAGAAGGGGGGTAGTGAGGCGAGGGCAGGGGAGGCAGAAAACAAGCTGGCAGTGCAGAGAGGTGGCTGGCTAGAGCTGAGGCTGGAAGGGGGTTCATCCCATCCTTGCAGGGCTCGGAGTAATTCATCTTATGAGCACTCATCTCCCAAGATGAATTAGACACTGCCCTCTGGAAGCCTCCTGTCCAGGCCCCTACGAAGGCTTCCTGTGTCTGGCTAGGTGAGGATCAGGCAACACTGAGGCAGGTGTGGCAGCATCAGGCAGGGGGCGCACTGAGCTTGCAGTTAGGACTCCCAGGTTCTGGTCCTGGGCTGAGGAATACATGTCCTTTTTGGACTCAGATTCCCCTGGGCCTGTCTCCAGGTGGAACCATGGTCCACAGTGAAGCTGGGAAGGAAGCATGGTCTCAGCCGCTGGGAAGCTGCATGTCTCTGGGCAAGTGACTTTATTTCTCCAAGTTTCAATTTATTTATTTATTTTTATTTTTTTTGAGTTGGAGTCTCACTGTCGCCCAGACTGGAGTGCAGTGGCCGCTCCTGGCCACCGCAGCCTCGAGCTGCTGGG